ATTTAGATGAGCCTTTTCTTGGATGTTCTGAGGAATGTTTAATATTTACTAAACATTTTCCTTCTACAGAAGTTTTTCTTTTAGGACTTGTGTGAGTATATTCAGTAGTACTTTGGATATTACACTTCTCTGTTGCTGAGCCGTCCTGGTTACCTGAAAGTTAATTTTTTTTTAAAGTGTGTCAACTAATAGTTCAAGTAATTATACATACATATTGTAGCTCTCACTTTATTAATGTACATTTTGAACAAGTTTCTAATATTTATAAATATGTCACTATCTAAAGTAAAATAACTATTTTTAAACTTACCTTCTTCATATATAATGTTTTCTTGGACCAACTTGGTGTCTGTTGAAGAACTCTTTAATAGAATTGTTTTAAGGGTCTCTCTCATTTTTCAGACAACGATTAGCAATTTTCCTACTATCTTCATGAGTTTCGGGACTACTCTGAACATTTTCCGAAACCATACCTAAAAAAGAATTGAATTTCATTATATGTTTATAATGCTAGTTTTTCAATAAATTGGGGAAACCGTAAATACTGTGAAAGTTGTTAGGATACCAAAATGTTCGTATCATCTTATCCTGATTTATTCACTGATTGGTTTATATATGTAAACAAAGTTATTACTTACTTGAAGATGTAATGTAGGAAAACCTGTTCTTTTCAAACCTCTCTTGGTTCCAGGCACATTGGCATTTTTCGAAAAATGTAAGTCACTTTTATAAATTTGTTCGTGATTTTTATTGTCCAAATTTGGATTTGCTCGATCCACTTGTTGAAAAGTGCAGCATCATATTTTGGAAATGTATGCCTTTTACTGATTGTATCAGTACAACCAGGCACCACGCATTTTTTAAATCCCCGTTTTCGATAAGCCTCCATTACAAAAAGTAAGTTTGTGAATTGAAATTCAGTTAAGGCTCAATGAATATCAGTATCACCGACACAGAACTAATAAAACGCCGGCGCCGCACACGATTCAACTTTATAATCAACGTATTTCAACGTCAAAGCATTGAACTGTCAAAAAGAACGGAAAACCTAGTATAAGCGCCACTCTGTTGTTACACTCCATACTAAGTATATAAGAATATCTGGTTGCCTACAAGACATACCTTCAAAGTCACTCATTTAACTTTCCCTTATAAAGTAGGTGTTTTGTGACTCAGACTCACCAAGCTATGCAACCAATAATGCGTAGTTTAGTTGAGTGATTCCTCCTCAGATGGACGTTCACTACGATCCTAGTGAGCAAACGTGGAATGACTGTTTGCGCCCTAAAAACTACCTAGTCTGCAAGTTGACATCTTATAGGTTTTTTTTTTGACGTTTTGTAGGTTTTTTACATGATACCCGTGCCGATTATGTAAAATGATCGCCAATATGCACTAAGTACTAGCTAGTCGAGAACCCACGCCAAGCCTTCTCGCGGTAAATGCAGCTTAGAGCATATAAAGTATAAATGAACCTCCGCTAATGTCATTTCTGAAGCAGGTGTTACATTAAGTCAAATACACCATACTGCCAGCAGAAACCTGACATTTAGCCAAAACACCTAGGTACTACAGATGCGTTTGCGTCTGACAATCGCCATCGCCTTCATTTTGAAGTTACGTAAAAAAGGTGCCAACTAGCGACGGCAGCGTCAGCAACCTTTGAGCAACTGGTTCACGTTGCCATCTTTTTGGTGTGAAAGATTGTATTTGAATACACATGTGCCGAGTCGGGTTGCCAGTTGCATTTGGTGTGAATCGCAACAAATGGCTCTGCTAAAACTTATTTTATCCACTCTTAAATAACATGTTAGTATACTGTTACTAGAGGTTACAGATACTTCAAAAATTCCATAGCCTACGATAACGCGGAAATGAATCAGTCCGTTTGCTTGTGATGCGTCCCAACAGCCAACTTTAACAATAATTTATACGAACGATAAACCCAGAAAATTGCGCTTTAAATCACTGACATCTTAATTGTATTTATTACGTTATTTCGTGTTAAGCACCTTGGGATAAATATTCCTAGCGTATGACTGCTAAATTTAGCTTTATAGCTACATTTATACTATCTCTTAAATATTGCATTTAACTCCTATGTAACTTGTTAACGGTTAACGTGTGGAGTTTGATCTCTTGGTGTTTGTAGTCGGGCAAATGTTTAGACGTAAAATTGTGTTGTAAATAGATAAACTACGTCAAGGTGCTTCCAGGGTCTCGTGAATTTGACGTAAATGCATCTTAGCATGAACGAACTGAAAATAAAAGAAACGGCTAGCAGCTGATAGTTTTCGCTCTTCTTCGCTCAGATTTCTCTGGTTTATCTTTAAAATCCCAGGACCTCATCTGGAATTCTTGGACCTCCTCGTAAGCCATTGAATCTCCTCTGATATCTTTGAGGTTTTTCTGATACCTTTGCATCTCGAATTGCATTGGATGTCCTCCCATATGATAAAAAATCTTTTCATTGACCAACCTCTTGAGTGGCACAAAGTTACATTCTTTGTTCAACGGTAGAATTTCCTTAAGAGTTCCTCGAACAATACCAAATACACCGAACATATGCTCATTGCGTTCATATCCACCTCCAATAATGAAACAGTGAAATTCAGGTGTTTTGTCGATAATAAAAAACTACTTGCAAATATCAGATTCGAATCGTGGACGGCAGTGTACTGTGCAACAAATGTTAATGATGCTGCAAACACGCATAAAACATTTAATTGAATGTAGTACTAACCGAGTTAAAATTAAACATTTTGACAGAAGCAGGAATCCCTGGATAACTAAAGGTTTGATAAAGTCTGCCAACCAAAAAGAAGAACTATACAAAATAATTAAAGCATCACCAGGTGCAGATACCTCCCGTAAATATAATGAATATAAAAATATTTTTATCAATCTAGTTAGAGAAGCAAAACGCCAATTTTATCTAAAAAAATTATCAGATGCAAAATCTGATCCAAGAAAACTGTGGTCGGTTGTCGATCACTTAACTAACAAAGACGTTCAAGAGAAGCCAAATATTGATGAGATTAAGAATCGTGATGGAACAATATTAACAGATAAACGACACATATCCGATGAATTTATAAATTTTTTCACTAAAATGTTTTGAACGCCATGTTCCCAAAAACCCAACTTCTCAATTCATTCTTTTTAGAAAGCGTTAGTCCGATTGAAGCTGTCCTATCACTTAAAACCAACAAAAGTTCTGGTGTAGATGGTATCAAAGCTGAGCATTTAAAAATAATAGCCTACGACTTAGCTAGACCACTTTCTTACGTCATTAATTAGTGTTTCCAATCTGAAATTTGTCCTGATGCATTTAAAACAAACAACAGTTATTACTCCTGTTTATAAAAGCGGTGACAGAATGGAGACATCAAATTATAGACCCATATCAGTACTATCGAATGTATCCAAAACTTTCGAAAAATTACTACAAGACAGGATATTACAATTTTTGGAAAATCTACTACAGCTGCAATTTTGGCTGCAATGGATGAAATTAACTCCAATGTCAACAAACAAATACCTGCTATTGGTATCTTTGTTGATCTAAAAAATGCCTTTGATACGGTTAACCACGTCGAGCTTCTGAAAGTTATGGAAATATTGGGATTTAGGGGAACGTCACAAATTATTTTAAAAAATTACCTTTCAAGTCGGGCGCAGACTGTCAAAATAACTAACACTTACAGTAAAAAAAAATGTACATCAAGGAACAGTAACTAGGCCCACTAATATTTAGTCTCTACTTAAATGACTTATTCAAAATTCACAGTTCTGGAAAGATGATACGTTTTGCAGACGACACCCTCATATTATATAAAGCTGATGACTGGAGCACACTGAAGCAAATAGCTGAAAAGGATTTTATAAGGATCATTGACTGGTTTGATACCAAAATTTTAACAGTTAACTTCAAAAAAACAAAATTTATTGCATTTACATCCTATTCAAAATGTTTACCTACCTTTGAACAGATTTCCGTTAATTATCATGGCCAAAAGACCAAAATCCATAGAGTTAAAACACTTTGAAATATCTTGGAGTATTTATGGACTCACATCTAAGGTGGGATAACCATATTAAATATGTTATCAAAAAAATTAGCAATGTTGCCTATAAACTCAAAATGCTTGCTAACATTCTTGCAGAAAGTTATCTGCGGATCATGTACCATGCCTTAGTTGAAACCCATATAATATACAGCACCACAGCCTGGGGTGCCGCCTGCAAGACATATATTTCTGACCTAAATATAGCACAAAAAACTGTTTTGAAAGCCATTTTCCATAAGACAAGATTATATCCGACGAACAACTTATATCAGGAAACAGGGATACTTGATACAAGACAACTTTATTTCTTACATGCCACCACCTTATACCATAAGTATTGTAATGAAAAAAAATCCTATAAACACGAGCATAACACACGATTTCGAATAAGCTCATCTAATATCCAAAGACCACACAAAACATTATCCAAAAAATCATTTAAGTTCTTAACACCTAAATTATATGATGCAGTACCAAACGAAATAAAAATACTTAATTTTGGAAAAAAATTTAGACGAAAATTGAAAGACTGGGTTTGTACTCTGCAGCGAATGACTATACATAATTATATAGAAAACTAAAACTACAAAATTCCAATTATATTAATAAACTTTTTAGAATTAACAATAATTGTTATACACATATGATTGATTGTTGGTTATTAAGATATAATCCACACATAGGCGATGCCTTCTGTGGTTTTTTCATATTTATTTGCCCATTTTTTGTAATTTGGCGAATAAATATTATTATATGTAGCATTCATCGCATCCATGACCTGTTTGCTAGACCCATGCCATACACTAATAAGCTTTAATAAGGAGAAAACCGCACAACCCCCGACTGCTTGTATGGATGGGGGATATGAAGTAGCCAATAGGAAAATCTGTATGCTGGTATCCAGAATCCACATCCTTCCAATTGTTCCAGGTACAATGGCGTGAGCCAGCCGACCGGAAATGGCACTGGTGGTGGAGCGGCGAGTGGTTGCGGAGGCGGGGCAGCAGGGGGCAGCTACCCGAACGGTACCCGATTGGCGCCACCCCCGGCGCGGCCAATCACCAAGTACGCTTCACCGCCCTCTATCGCCGCACCTGTCAACCTGGTGCAGACCAAGGAGGAACAGGTCGCTGCCACTGCTGCCGCCATTGCTGCTGCGGCCGCTGCTGCCGATGACAGGTTAGTTTTGTAGATGGGATTTTTCTTTTGGGGTTACACTTCGAGATATTCAAATTTTGTGGGCAAAAATCACGTATATAGTCCACGACATATCGATTGTGATTGTATACCTGTATATATAAATATTTTTGACGATGTATTCGAAAGCAATGGAGCAAGGAAATTGTCAGATTTGAATGATGATTTCAAAAAATCTACTCAAGAACCAGTATTGCCAGTTGCAGACGATCAGTTGTCGTTAGAATTGGGCGAAACTTTTCGGTAAATTGTTAAATTTTTCGCGAGACGGAGCACGAAAAATGCATTTCCATAGGTCGCTACATCTCACTTTTGAGCTAATTAAAAAAATATTCTCCTTCAGAGACAATCTGCATATTTTATAAAATTGGTACATATAAACTATAAACTACAAAAATCATAACACATGATATGAACAAATCAATCTTCTTTTTGTATACATTATGTACAATTTTTTTCTGTCATGTTGGAAACCGCAAATCGGAAACTGGTTATTTTTAATCATGACGTTTTTTACCAGCGTTATAGCGATATGCCTTTTTGAATGAAGCAGGAGTGAAATGATAGTGAGGTTGACATCGGAAAATGCCCTTTCAACAAAACTAGCTGCCTCAGACACGCATAAGCAGTTGACGTGTAGGGCATTTTTCGAATATTTAATATTTGTACTATAGATTATAGTATTTTTGTGGTTTATTATAACGAAAATGTATACGACAAATGCTTCTGGAATTTAGGAAAAGGTAGCCCAATTTTTTTGGTAGATCTTGCATTAATGTCGGTAGTTTTATAGATGAGGGGCTTGATTCTAAATGAGTTGCGCCGTTGAAATTGATTTCGATGGCGCCTTGTAATATACTTGATTCGCTATGATAATTTTTGACATCTGATTATATTGATCTTCTATATTCAAATTATCATGGCAGTATCAAAATTATCATAGCTAATCAAGTATATCGCCACAAGGCGCCATCGAAATCAAGATATACTAATTTTGGCACCAATTGAAAAATAATTCTATAAAGTTGTGAGAAACAGATTAGCAACAACATTATAATTTTTTACAATTTGTATGTCTAATTATCACTGAAAAATTATATTTTTGGCAAATATTGTGTTTAGCTGAATTAGTGCATTCTTGTTTATCTTCGATAAAACGAATCCTTTCCTGAAAAAGAAAGTCTTGTTTAAATGTAGTTTCAAAAAGTGATTATTTTTTCAAAAAATGTAGCAGCACCAGCTAATCCCCCTGGTGATCTAAAGGAATTGTTTTTCTATAAACACGATCATGCGATGCACTATTCTGCCAATAGAATTTTTCAAGAGTTATGAAAAACTGATCGATGGTAACAGCAAGAACGTTTCCTCGACGGACTTGTCGAAATTAAATATATCTTCATTTATTCAACTTAGCTGAGCAGACTTACCAAAAATAGTGAAAAAAGTTACCTTACTTGCTGATGTACGAAGCAGTTCTATTGAAACGTATTTTAAAATTTGGGAAATGTGGACCTACGACGGGGGTCAAACCACTCACATCATGTTTGCAATGCAAGAGCTCTCTAAAATACCGTAATTTTAATATTGTGTGCGACATTCGCACTGTGCAAGTGTCTTTTCCAAATTTCAAAGTGACGAAAATCAAAAATGTGGTAAAAGTTAAGTAACCTTCCATTCACCCGGTATGTAACGCCCAATTTTCTGATTTGCAGGACAACAATTCCGGACATGTCGGCGTACAGCCCGTACCGCCTATTCCCACACGCCCAATTCCCGCACTTCCCTTACCCCATTTGCCAGCAACCCTACATGCTTCGAACCAGTTTTCCTCCTACCCCGCTCTCTCCGATGGAAACCTTCTCCCCTACGGCCCCAACAGCCACGTCCACTTTCCTGTCGCCGCCCAGCACGTTTAGCCCGCCCACATCGGTGAAGCCGCCCACGCAAGTGCAACAGACCAACACGATACTGAGGGATAAAAGGACGCCGCCCGCCCAGCACCAGTCACAAGGTAGGACATAATCATTATATCATCAATTGAGAAGTATCTAGAAAGGCGCTATTAGAATTTTTTTTGCTATTCCAAATGGCTCTAGGGGGCTGAGCCTAGGATGACACATTTGCATGATATTGATAAGCCGTCTTAAATTTTGCCGTTGAGAAGAATTAAGGGGCAGAGGGGGATACAGAGGCATTTTGTTTTTTGGGCATTTGGGTGCCCCAATCAAGTCGGGACCGTGGATCCGGGCCCCCTGGCTCCATAAGGTTAAGATGGATGGATGGCTTCAGTTTCACACTCAGTAGCAATTGAGAAAGCCCTAGTTCGTCCTCCATCTTGCGTTTACAATATATTGCTTGATGATTTCTTGGTATACACAGTGGATCGCCTACAGCACATCATCAGACTACAAGACACAATTTTTGTTGAAAGTAGCACTCACAGAATAATTATGAAAAAGGTATACATAATATAATGTACGATACAAATCTTGGCCTTGACCTGACCCCGTGACCAAAGAGGTTAAGCCTTATCCCGTACAAATTTTATATTAACATTTTCCTTTGCTTTCAGGATCACCCTTAGCCCCTCCTCGATCTCCTCTAGCTCCTCCTCTAACTCCGAGCCAATCACAAGCAGCCGCTGCGAGTTCAGCTGCTTTCAAAGTGCCTTCGGGGAAAGAAGGCTCCCTCAAACATCGGATCCTGACCAGGCCGGAGGACAATGTCAGGACCAGCGGACCTTTAGACCTGCAGAAAAGTTCAGAGGGACGGAAAAGGCTGCAAGCTACCATGTCACCTCCTAGGTGAGTTTGAATTATTAAACGCAATGTTTGCTCAACTTCAAACATGGTCCACATCTGAGTCACAATAAAACCTTTGATCTACATATTCCACCAGGAAATTCCCCAGCGTGCCTTGGTGCCCACACCAACGACATCGGATGCCTTGCTGCTAAATTACCCTGCATTGTGAATCTTGGGGAACACGAAATATTACACATTTCTTATTTCAGGTCTCCCAAGAGGACGATCAACAATAACACGATGTCCAGCAACTTCACCAAAGGCTCCTTGATTCAGTTGCATAATGGCGAGTTGAGGAGGATAGAGGACATGCGCACTGAAGATTTCGTCATGTCTGCGGACAGGAGTCCTGAATTGAGATTGGCCGAGAGCACGGTTGTCAGGATAGAGGAGAGTCACTCGGGGACGGCCACTATTACGCTTACCTACAACCAGAGGCGCGCACAGGTATTTTTTTGTAATATCAAAAATAGTCTTTAAAGTCGTTCGTTATTACTAGAAGGTAGAAATTTGCTTCCCGTTGAAGCAGCACTGCAGTATTGAAACCAATCTGAGGCTTCTTGCTTGTGGTTCTAGGTTTTCCTTTTAGAAGCGTTTTGGCCTATTTTTTTCACAAATACCTCATTGTTATAGAAGGTGTTTTACGATATTGGACAAATCTTCTCCGGTGGCTGTACGAGAAAGAGTTTATTCACAAGTCGTGACCAAAAACATCATACACAGGACTGCATTTTAAAGGGGGTCTTCTATGTAAAATTTTTTTCTCGAGGACTTCATTAAAAAGATACAGGGTGTTGAAGTTTAAAAATAAATAATTTTTTTATATCTTCAAAACCGTCAACTAGAATGAACTAAAATTTGGCGTGTGGATTTAGTCAAGTATTGTCCACATTCAGAAATCTTTACTTAAAATGAACGTGCACGAGTGGCGGAGATACAGGGGATTAGTGGCATTATTTTTTAGAATAAAAATAGTACGACACTGTTTTTTTCGAAACGCCTTATTTTTAGAATTCTACCTCCAATTTGCTACTAATAATTACTCTTTTTTCCATTTTTAAGGGTTGTGAAATGGAATTGAGCAACGATGAGTACGCCGATATAATTTTTCTGTACGGGTTCTATAATGGAAATGTTTTGGCGGCTTCCCGGGAGTATCACCGTAGATTTCCTAACAGACGCCAACCTACCCCAAAGGTTTTAACTAATTCGTTGTTTTTTATTTTTATGAAAATATTGCACTCTTGAAAAAACATAAGAGTAATTATTTGTAGCAAATTGAAGGTACAATTTGAAAAATTGCGCGTTTCGAAAAAAACCAGTTACGTACTATTTTTATTTGGAAAAATAATGCAACTAATCCCCTGTATCTCCGCCACTGGTGCACGTTAATTTTAAGTAAATACTTTTGAATGTGAATAATACTTAGGTAAATCCACATACCAAATTTTAGTTCATTCCACTAGACGGTTTTGAAGATATAGAAAAAAATTGTTTTTATTTTCAAACTTCAACACATCTTTTTAATGAAGCACTCGAGGAAAAAATGTTACATAGAAAATGCGGTCATGTGTATGATGTTTTATTTTTGGTCACGGCTTGTGAATCACCCTGTATATGTGCCCGATAAATCTTCGTTTTCATTATATCTGGCATTTTCTTATTGAATCATCTTATTAATCACCCTTAGAAGTATGTTATTTACACATATGCTGTTTTATTTGCGAAACATTCTACTGATATAAGTAAATTTGAAAATCTAATCTCGTTTATAAAAAGATTATAGCAGAAGATTATAGTGCTAATGAATTGAAAATGTTTGTTATCGACACCTCCTCCTATGATTAGGTAATAAATATTAAAGATAGTGGTTATTTTATTTGGATGCTCCGAAGGCATCTGCTTTGTTTATATATATAAGTGGCTAGAAAGATGGAAAGGTGAGAAACCCTCGTATAACTGTGTTAAGAATTCGGTATCATACCTTAACGCTGACTACATATTTCAATAACTTGAATTTGCGTATTTTCCGAGCTGTAACATGTTGAATAAAAGATATTCAGAAATTTCTTTCCTGTAGTACCTATATTTCAACCTTGAATTACCAGTGGATGATAAGTGCACATACAAATATGGATCCATATTTTGAACTACTTTTCATCAGTTGGTTTTGAAATGTGATCCAACATTCGTACGCAAAACTAAAATAAACATTACGTAATAGTGCTGACTAAATATAATATACATACGTTGGCTGTATAACATTCCTGCATTTCAGATCACTGACCTTAACTTTCCACTTATTTTTATTTGTTGCTCAACTTGTTTATAATCCCGTGAATGAGTTTAGCATCTTGCTATACCGGATTTACTCGTTAAGATTCTTTTTACTTCAAGGTTGTATTACAGGAACGCTCCGCTATTGGAGTGCTAATATCCAATCAAGCTCTTTAAATAGATACCAACGGATAAAATTGATGATATATTTGAACAGAATTGCTTATGGCGGCGGTTTACGTAAGGCTTCCCTCATACCTACACATAAATATATACAAAAAAACAGAAAAAGCAAATAAACCTTAAAAAAATTTAAATATGTATTAAATAATGTACAGAATGAAGTTCTTTCCAACAAGATAGCTTTCCAACGTAATCTTGAAATTCTTTAAGGAGTTTGCATCTTTCATTGAGTCAGGCATCTTATTAAAAAAAATTTGGCTTAAATATTTTGGGGACTCGATTCCCAATTTCATACTCAGAGTGTTGGCACATTCCAAAGTCATGTACCTGTATGTAGCTATTTAAGTTAAACGCTCATGTATTATGTGCACAGCCATTTCGAAAAGTAATAGTGCGGGCAATGTTAGGATTTATAATCTCCGAGAAGCTCTCTGGAGCTGTGTGGGCTGTCAACACCCACTATACATTGAACTACCCCCCGTTTTTGGCTGAAAAGGCTTTGAACACTCGCAGATGAAACACACAGCATATCGCGTAACGCGAGACCCAATCTAAAAATTATACAGCATTAGCTTTCGTAAAAACCATTCTTATATTTTCTGTATTATAAGGCTGTGCATTTAATTTATTGGAGATGTAGCCACGATTCTCTTTGAAGTTGACGCAGTCATCTAAATACTGTCCCAAGAATTTACTCTCATATCTAACACAACTTTTAGAAATGGCCCCGGAACGCACCTTAAATGACCTAATATGGTCAAACTGACCCCAGATTCTGACCCAGCGACCTCAAAAGCTGCGCACAGTCTAGTAGATTGGATTTATCGGTATTTTCTCAGTTGGATCTTGAAATGACCTTGCTACCTTATACAGACAAACTGGCATCAAATTTAGACTCAGGGACCCCAACAATCTAAAGGCATGACAGTTAAGTGCCAGACACCTGATTACACACACCGAAATTTTACATAAAACTCACCTTTTACTGCCTTTTAGTCATTTTATGCATATACATGAAAAATAGGTTTTTTATCAAAATTATATTTGACTGAAAACCGGTCTTATGGGAATCCTTTAATTATTCCAAGAAAATTAGATCGTAACTGTACTTTTGAGCATCAGTTCGAATCTCAAAACGAAACAAAAAGAACCAAAGTGGACAAGCGTCAGAATATCGTATATCTGAAATGGTCAGCGACCTTGGTCGTACCTTGCCTGGGGCGTCCCAAGCTGCGCTGGCTATCTTATTTGTGATCGTACTGCCATCATGGTACTCTTCGACGAGGCACGCCAAACCAATCGTTCCAACTTTCGTAATTGCAGGCATTGCCAACATCGAAAGCCATCTCGCTAAAGAGTACCTTAACTGTTTATCTGTTGACGCCAGGTCAGTGACTAATACAACAGACATGCAACAACATGGTACTCGGTAATATGCGTACTAGCCGGTACCGCATGCAAAAAGCAGTAAAGAGATTTTTCAGCTTTGAGGTCCGTTACGCATGCAATGTTTTTGGATTGATTTGTTGACTGCCATTTTGAGTAGCAACATGCCTGTTTCAACATGTTTGCTTCTTTAGAATATCTACAAATATGAACTATGACTTTCAAATTCGACCCTCACCATTGCGATCTCGGAGACTGTAAGAGATACGAAGTTGCTCAATATGATATTTCGTATTTTTTCTTGTCGACGCCATATTAAATTTTTGCACAGATGAATGGAGTTTTTAATTCCGATTCCAAAAATGTATATATAATACGTCATACATTGACATTGCCAAACCTTAGTTATTTAAAAAAGGAGAATTTCCTAGGTAGGCCTTGAGATTATCAGATAGTCATTTATTTCGCATACCAGATTTATCCCAAAATCACTTTAATTTTTTCCTGACTTTATTTGAGATCAGATTTCAAAATAAACTGAATGTTGTCACTGTCACTTATTCTGCTCTACAAGATGGCGTATTTAAATTTTCAACTCGACATTTCTTCTTTTGACTTCCATCACCGACTTTTTTTTTCATATGGACGCTATATTGGAATGTTGTACATTTAAATGGACTATTCGATCCTAAATTCAGTGACGTATTTCTTTAGTTAAAATTGAATTTGTTGTTGGTTGAAAATCATAAGAAAATGAAAATGTTATCGACGATAATAAAAATAATAACCATAAATAAGCAAAGCTAAATCATAGCAAATGTTCAAAATGTTATTTTTAAGACAAAGCCTGACTCTTCTCAGTACGTTGTTCACTGCTCGATATATTTCTCTTCTTCTCAGTCGTCCAAACTCTGTTGCAAATTAAATCTGATAATTTGAAGGTCTACCTAGGAACTTCTATTGTTCTGAAATAACTAAGGTTTGGCAATGTCAATGTATGTCGTATTATAAATAAAGTTAATGCTGGATGACAAGAGACGAAACGTCATATTGAAATTCTAGTTATGTCATCTTGTAGAGAAGAAAAAGTGGCAATGTCAATGTTCAATTTATTTTGAAATCCCGGTACAAATAAAGTCAGGAAAAAATTAAAACGATTTTGAGAAAGTTGTTTTTTCCGTCTTTCTCCGAAAGTACTTTGAATTTCTAAGCCGCATTTTGTTGATTACCTAAATACGAAACTTTGACCCCATTTAAGCGACTTCGTATCTCTTACAGTTTCCGAGATTTCGATGGTGAGGGTCGAATTTGAAACACCCTGTATACAGGGTTGCGCGTTTGGATCCGACGCATTTTAAATGGTCACAAATAAATTTTGAAGTTGAGGGTGGTAATGGAAATTGATTTTCAAAAAGTTACAAGTTACGTATGAAAAACAACTTCCTTTATATTTAATTTTTGTATTCCACTCAAGATTCCAAATACACTTTGTGTTTATCATCCTATACATAGGAATATCTCGAATTTTGCGTTAAACAAAGCCAATTTTTCTTGTACATTTTGCCTTTGCCATGTAATATTTTAATCGGATGTCTTACCGT